TGAGATTTAAAAATGTTAAAAGACATCAGTCAATCATCTGCTTTCACAAAGATATAATAAGATGCAAAGAAGCACACTTGACTTGCAAAATATGCCGAGAATGTTGCTCAGGACTTAAAAGGGAATTGCACTCTTGACTTTGAGAGATTACAAAAATCCAGTACAAAATCCGGAAGGTAGAATTATAAATACTATGAAAAAAGGTTGAAGAATGTCTCTAAATACTGAGACTACAAATGCAGATTGCTGGGCAAAGCAACTTGTTTCCAAATGATACATTATTTGTAAGCATACTGATTATATCCAGGAAGCCTTCTGCTTGAGAAAGGTCGAAGTCTTCTACTAATGACTGTCCTAGTTTTATGACAGCGCTCTGACAGCTATTGATTAGGTCCCTCAGTAGATTGAAAATACATTAATCAGCTCAAATCAAAATCATGTAGCCTCTTCAGTTCATGTAAACATTTGAATAATTAACAGTTTGCAACACCTTCAAAAATATATGGGTAGAAAACTCAAGAATGCTACTTCAAGCATTTGTGATTTACAAATGAACAGAATAAAACTAGGCATGACCTACTTAGAATAGATGTCCTTATATAGAAATTAAATGTAACAATTTGCAGAATTTAAACTATTAAAAAGGAAGTGTAAGTTAAAAATATCAGTAGCAGCATTATTCTGCATTTTGTCACTATAAAGTTTCTCAGTTGCTTCAACAAAATGAATTTCCAGTTGAGGGAAATGGCCACAGATTATCACCCACATATATTCTTGAACTGCAATTTAGGAAACCATAATGTCTGGAACAACTTATCAAGAATTATATGTTGATATTCCAAAGACATCTGGGGAAAGCAGTTGTTTTAATTACATTGACATGGATTATTAAGCAACTTGGGAAATTTGCCATTTTGCTCATGTTTGCCCTGTACTGTTCTATGCTGAAAGCATAGCTGACAATTAAATTAGGTTTGGTATTCCCAAGCCACAGTTTCTTAAGTATTTAAAATTAGAGTTATCATAAAAATGGGTACAGAGTAAACCTGAGTGACAAAAAGTTCTGGTGTCTCTGGTTGAAAAGAGCAGGAGCAGCTGCTAATCAGAAAGGATAATACTGGGTTCAAATTGAACAACAATAAAGATATAAAGAAAACAACATAAATTCAATTCATATGTCTCCACTACATTTGTATAGAAAAGAGATATCTAAGATAGTATTTTGTTGGAGATTTCATAGATATAATTATTGATTACCACTCATTGTTCACCCCTGTTCTGTCCATGCTCTTGTTTTTAATCTTTAATTGTTGTTAATTTTTAATGTTTTTGTATTTATGCTTTTATACTATTATAAGTTGCCTAGAGTCACTCAGAACAATGAGATGGGCAACATATAAACAAATAAACAATGCTTCTTTAAAACACATGCTTTTACTTACTCCTATGCTTACTGTACTAAGTTTTGGGAGAAAATAGACTATAGATAGTCCACAATTTATGATCACAGTTGAGAGAGGAATTCTGGTGGCTGAGCAATGTGATTGTTAAACAACTCATCAACAACCATTTTTATCATAGTCGTTATCATGTGACTGTTAAATGAATCTGGCTGCCCCCATTAACTTTGCTTGTTGGAAGCTGGATGGTTCCAACAACTGCAATTATGTTACTGGACAGCACTGCAACTGGTTGTAAACATAAGTCAATTGTCAAGCCCCCCAAATCACAATCATGTGATCAGACAGGTGGGCGCGATGGTCAAAATTTCGAAGACAGTTTTTAAGTCACTTTTTTCAGTGCCATCGTAATTGAACTATTGTTATATTAATGGTGATAAGTGGAGGATCACCTGTATGTAAATGTGACTATGTGACAAAAGATACAATTTTCAGAGGTACATGGAATTTAATGATTGGACAATGTAAATAGATTCCTAATGCCCTTACTATGGCTGAAAGACTGATACTACAACACTGGAACACTGGAAAGATAAATGCATGCCCCCATTCATTTAGTGGATCAAAGATCTCATTGGCCACCTATGTACAGATTGCCTATAGACACAGACTTTGTATGGATAAGCATAATGAATTATGTCACTCATTTATACAAAATAAGGTTGAAAAAGCATGATAATTATGTATGTATTAGAAATATATACATTTTTGCATATTTGCATTTGATATATAGAATTGAAATTGTTTACTGTTTTAATATTTCATACTTTGTTTCCTTTTTTCTGTTGTACTTTTGTCACTTTTTAGAAGTATTTGTTGTACATTTTTCTTTGATGATGCATGCCTTCATAAGTAGTTCATGTTTTTTCCTGTTATTATTTTAAAAGCAATACAATTTTTTTTTTAAAAAAGATCTAATTTAAAAGCAATATTGTAAATTCAGTTTACATGAGTCACCTTCTCTCTCAGATTACAAATGAAATCTCTTTTGTCTGCAACAAAAGACACTGTATATATCAAATGAAATCTCACTATTCTACATCCTCCAGAAAGTTTTTCCAATTATGAGATTTGAGAATGAAAAACAAGTCCAACATGCAGTTACGTGGGATGGAAAGAGTAAACACCGCTTGTACTTTCAAAGGCATTATATAAGGAGTGTGTTATTAACTATTTGAGAAAAGATAAAAAAAGTACATTACTGTAAGGTCCCACTGTGGTTATTTACAATGGAGGCAGTTATACATCCAAACATTTTAGGTTTTGATAATATTGTAAGATATAAACTTCTATAACATCAAATCGAAGGGTTAAAGGATAGAAATCAAATACAAATTCAAGGAAAAGAGATAGCATGGTGGCCGTATGAGCAGGTACAAACACATTACAAAAAAGACAAAGAACAATTTGGTTTTAACATGACCTATCAAGAATTAGATAAAATTTGTCATGGAGAGGAAAGGAAATTGATTGGTAAAATATATAAATATCTATTGGATTATAAATTAAAAGAAAAAACAGTCAAGGAGTGTATGATAATTTGGGCAAAAAATGTGGACAGTATTGAATTAGACAAGTGGGAACATATTTGGGAAATAAATTACAAACTAACTATGTCAGCCTTGTACAAAGAAAACCTCTATAAAATAGTGTATCGTTGGCACTTGCCACCCGCAAGACTGGCTAAGATGTTCCCGAATCTCCCCCCAAACTGTTGGAAGTGTAACTGCATCCAGGGAACATACTTCCATATGTGGTGGACATGTCCATATGCTCAGAGATTTTGGAAAAATATCAAAAATTGGATTCTAAATATAACTAAACAAGAAGTAAAACTTGAACCCAAAACCTTTTTGCTGGGTATGAAAGACTCAAAAATAGAAAAAAAATATCAATATTTAATCTTGCACATTATAATGGCAGCCAGAATAAGTTATATTGAAAATTGGAAACTGTCTATTGTCCCTTCAGAGGAGATGGTCATTAAAAAAATTCACAAGCGTGCAGAGATGGACAGCCTAACCAAATTACTAAAAAACAACAAAGATAATGAATACTACAAAGTTTGGAACTGTTGGTATGAATGATTAAAGAAAAAGCAACATTTGACAACTGATTAAGTTATGAAACTATGAAGGATATGCATTTAATCATAAAGTATTCTATGAAATTAAAACATTAAAAGAACGAGGAAGGTATTGCAACAAGGTAGATCACGTCAATGTTATGGGGTAAAAGAAAAAAAAAGAAAAATGTAACTGATGTTCAATACCTGCTGCAAAATGTATATATGTATATATATTTGTTTTCTTAAGTTTTTGCGGGTACTTACATGTATGGTATTCAGCTTTGTTTGGGTATTTTCCCACATCATTGTAGTTGTGCTTTTAAATATTTGTTTATATGTTTGTTTGTTTCTTTTTAAATGTTTTAAATATATGAAACTTAAATAAACTTTATTTTAAATTTAAAAAAGAAAAAGAAAAACAAGTCCAGAGATAAGGAACCAATGTTTTTTTGCATAGATTAAACGTACACAGGAGTGCAACCTTTTTTTAAATGATCCAGTCTGAAGTATGTGCAAACAGACAGTCCATCAGACTTCAAAAACACTTAAGAAACAAGTTTAAGCCAAACCTGGACTGCCAAAGGAAATGCAAAACTAGGTGGCTTATTTGCATTTATCTTTAGAGAATATCTCTGAAAAGATACCATGTTCCATACTTATTTTTTTATACAGTCACAACTCCCAATTTATTTGTAAAAGATAATTATAAACACAATATGACAAAATCATAGTAATTATCAGATGGTATTAGCTAATAATGAAACTAGAGGAAGTGACAATCCCACTTGTAATTTAAGAATTGCAAAGCAAAAAGAGAAAGTGTCTTCTCTGCAGATAAAATGCAGGCAGGCAGGCAGGCAGGCAGGCAGGCAGGCAGGCAGGCAGGCAGGCAGGCAGGCAGGCAGGCAGGCAGGCAGGCAGGCAGGCAGAAAGAAAGAAAGAAAGAAAGAAAGAAAGAAAGAAAGAAAGAAAGAAAGAAAGAAAGAAAGAAAGAAAGAAAGAAAGAAAGAAAGCAAGCAAAAGTTTAAATAGTCATATTTTAGTTTCATACCAAAAGTTCATTTGTAATGTATTTGAGAATACTCTGAAATTTACCTTGAAATTCTACATTTTAATCATACCACTTTCACAATTGAGAGGCACACAATGCCTGCAATTACAGATGCTTAACCACAACACACTGAACAGTAGAGCTGACTTCTTATCTATGACTTGTTATATTCACTATTTACCTATGACTTGTTATACATACTACTTGTTTAGAACCATAAGGAAGTATGAAATACAGAAAGGAAATTTAGAAAACATACCCATTAAATAAACTTATATAACTCACAATTACCAGCTGAGTTTACATCTGGAAATTTGCAGATATTTACCTTTTATTCCACCTACCTTTTTTCCCAGCAAAGTATTCCTAAATCAGACATCTCCCAAATATCAAGACTTATTTAACATGCTAACCAGCTTACCTGAAAGTCCTGATCATCAATTCCAAACCTCTCTCGCAAATTACGAAAAACCATTGGACAATATTCTTTGAATTTGAAATGGCTTGGCATGTTTTCTCTGAAAAAGAGATTTGATACTCATTGTAAGGAATTGTATATAGAGGTAGTCCTTGACTTGCAACTATTTATCGGCCATTTAAAGTTATGATTTGCAATAAGTCCTTGCACTTGTGACTGTCGCAACATTCCTGGGCTCACATAATCAAAATTCAGATCCTGGAAAGTGGCATGTATTTAGGGTGGTTGCAGTGTCTCAGGGACACATGGTTACCAATTCCAACTTTTCCGGCTGGCTTCCAACAAACTCAATGGGAGAAACTCATTTGCTTAATTATATTAGTAAAAAAAAAGTTGGCAAAATTAGGCAGGACTCAGTTGATGATTGCATTATTTAATGATGAAAGCTCTATTCATCTGTGTGCACCCCTAATCAAATCAATGTTTATTTTTCATACACCAATCTCCAAAGCATGGCTTGGTTCGTTTGTTGAAAACTAATTTAAGGTTAACAATATTTCATACCATTCTTTTAGAAGATCACATGACACAATTCAATAATCAATCAATCCTCCCTACCTCCCCAAAATTTTATTCTGCTAAGAAATCCCCTTCCACAGAGCATTAAGAATATACAGCTGGGTTTCTCTCCTGCATTACTTGGGGTAGCCAAAATAGAGTTGCCAGTAGCCATCCAGTTCCACCTCTGATATAGCCCAAGTTTCTTGAAGGAAAAGGATACAAAATTGTGATAGATAATCAAAAAAGGGTTGGTCTTTTGATGGTGCAAACCAGACAGCAATATTCCAAGTTAATAAGGAAGTTGCATCATCATTCAAGAACAGTCAAATGGCTTGATTTTCATTTTGGCAGGCCAATGACCTGAGACTGTTGTGTTGAACTGAAGAACCAGTGGGAAATAACCAGCTTCCTCTAAACATTGGCTTTTCTCATGTAAATTCTGTAACTATTCCAGGAAACCTTGCTCTGAAAAAATGAAATTATTAAGTCCAATAGATTTTATGTTGTAGAGTCTTCTTCAGCAATACTGGGTGGAGGATTGGTAATTCTTGCTGAATTCTGCTCTGTACAATTGAATTGGCAAGAGTTCTGCCTCTAACCTCCTGCTTGTTACTTATAGATCCAATTGCATGTCTTTGAGAACTCCTACTCAGTTAAAATGGAACCTTGAGTCAGCCAAAGAGGATTTGGGGAGCTATGGATTGGTGGACAATATCCAGACATTTCATTCTCCACTGAGGGGAGACAATTAGAGAAGCAAGGCCTATCAAAGACTCAGCTGTGGCTGTGGTATCCAATAGACAGCTTTCCTCAGATTTTCTAACTTCTGTAGTATATTATCTGGTTGGTCCCTTTCTAGGGAGCTGAAATATTAATAAGGCCAGCTTCACTTATATCTGGAGAGTGTTCATTTAGTAAATCTGACTTCCATGGTCTTGCTTTCTCAAATCTGAGGATAGTGTGCTTGCCTCGGAGGCATCTGGGAACTGACTTGAGATGATAGTTTGATATAGGTGACATAGAATTGAATAGAGATTAATCTTTTTGTCACAAAAGACTCTGCGCATAAGATATGAATGTGCTTTCATCTTTAATAACATCAGTGAGATGGTAGATTGTTTGAAAGATAGAAGAATCCACTTACAATTTAAGATGCTTGGGAGTTATTCAACAGCACACATATCTATCTTGCTGTTTTGGCTATGAAGAAGTTGGCCTACAAAAATTACTATTGCTCTCCTAGAATTCCAGGTCTGCTATTTTAGCTATTCAAAATTAATAATTTGTCATGTCTGCTATAAACAGTTTGAACTAGAAATATTCTTCTGGTACAGCTAGGGATCTTCAATGTGTGTGAAGCCCATTCTCTTTATTTTGTCAAGTTTTACAATGATATTAGAGTAAACATTTAGGTACTGTGCTTGTTCTTTAACAGCACACATGCCTTGGATAACAAGGTTAGATGAACCAATTGTATCAACCTTGATGCATGAAAAGTCTAGTTTTATGCTTTTGAAAATAAGCATCGACATTATATTTCAGCATCTTCTGTCCATATTTAATAGCTGAGAGATGCTTGAATATTAAGATCACAGTTTGAGTTGTGAACAAGTATTGGTTCGTCATGAAGTCTACTGAGTTTTCTCAGGAGGCCTCGTTTTGGTTTTTATTTTTAAGCTTATTTTATTTCTCCCAAGACTTGTCACACTGAGAGTCCATGGGGGAGTCCTGATTCTGATTTAGTTCTTCCCTAACAGATAAGGAATGCTCTGACAGCTGTTGTTTTTCTATTTCTGTTTGAAGATCCCATTCTAAGGCATCAGATTTGTTTGAAATAAAAGGAACATTTGTTTACTTAGAACATCCTTTTCTTGCAAAATGTTCTTCTATCTGTGGTTGTTTGGCTGATTTCTGTAAAAGGAGAGCGCTCAGCTCTCATATCATTTCTTTTTCTCATAACATTCAAGTCCACAATAAGTCCTTTATCTGCGCCTTGGCCTTCAAAAATTCATCTCATCCAAAAAGTGTAAGAGAACGTCCCGCTAAAAATTGCTTAAAACTACTGTAATAATATGGTTAAACGGGAAGGGCTATAAGAAAAAGTTACTGGGTGGATAACTCTTCCTCCCCCCAGTTGAAGATTGTTGAAGACTATAGTGATTAACATATAGCCAATTCTTTCATATCTTTCAGATCAAGGAACACAGTCGTAATTATTATCATTTAGAAGCTTGCAAAATTGCTGTATCCTAAAGACCTTTGCAGTATAATTCCAAATGTCACATTTTGCCCAATATGATGCCTATTTTCAGGTAGGCAAAGATAGACTTAAAACTATTCTCAGAGATCAGTACAGGGGAGTTTTGGGTGATTTGGAGACATTACTGGACTAATTGGAATAAATTGTCATGCAGGTGGAGAGTTCTTCTTTAGAAGAGTCAATATACTTAGACAAAACGAATTCTAGATATTCAGTGGCATAAATTAGCACAAAATTTCAAAACTTTAAGGGCACCAAGAACAAGATTACAGAATACTCAGAATGATTCACAATCAAATTATGAAAGCAACCATCTCTTTTTTTAAGCTTACATGAGTATCTGCTTCAAAAAGGTCCAGTGTTCATACTGTAGTATGTTCCAAAACATTTCTTTGGAATTATCTTTGTGCATTATCAGCGTGCATAGTCCTGTTATGCATCTCTGCTCTGCTAGTCAAGCAATTCTCCATAAATAGAAGAATCTGCATCTAACTTCAGAAAAATATTTTCTTCCATTCCATGGATAAGTCTCTGATATAACTTGCAGGATTCAGCTCTAATCAATCTTTAAGCCTTTATTACTGCAACACTAGTCCAACATTAATGTACATGGCACTGAATTGCTCTCAATAGAATATTCCACTTATGCAGTTCCAATTCTAATGGTTGTGTGCACATGGAATACATCATCACTGAGTTTGTATTTCCTAAATACTTCTAGAAGTAACCTGTATTTGTCTTAGCAAATCCTCAATAGCTTTTTTGTTTTAAGTATTAGGTAAGTAATTTGACTTAGCAAATCTTCAATAGGTATAATGATCAATTTTTACATTAACCCTAACTTTCCAAACTACAGAATTCCCAAACATTAACAGTAGTTTACCTCTATCTCTTAGAATAATTTAAAATGAATTAATAGGACTCTTTTAAAGTCATGTAAACATTAAGTCCAAACTGTAGAATTATACTGAGAAGTACTACTAGTCGATGCATACTAATGGAGATTCTCTTAGACCAGAGCTGAAATTCTGTGGAAAGTTAGCTTGGAAGCAACCTGTTGGGTATATGGATACACCAACTAGGTTTGGGTGACTAAATATATAAACCTAGGTTTAAGTGTTTGTAGCTTTAAGCACCAAACTGCAATGTAATTAGATAATTAAGGGTGCGGTTGCAAGCTGCAATAAAAAGGCAGTGAGAGAAACGTAACCTTCCTGGTCACTGGTCTGGTT